CATAGTGCCTAGTTAGAGAATAAATGCTTCACTCAGGTTCAGAGCTGGCCCATGCTCCCCTAGACCCTGACGTAATCAGTAGAGGACAAATGCTCCACAGCTCAGCAGTCTCCAGTCATGGAATTGCCTAACTGTTGACTCCTTCCCCCCCTTCCCAGTTCCTTGCAGGCCCTCTCTAATGTATTTCCTCTAATAAAAAAAAAATGATGGCCGAGTGCCTATCAGGCAGCAAAACCGAGCTGCTCACAGCTAAGGGGAACACAGGCAGAAAACCGAGCTGCTCACAGCTAAGGGGAACAGGTATGTAGAAAAAGCATTGCTTTATTAGTTTAAAAAGACCCTTCCTCCCAAAAGTAGGACCATGAGTCTCCAGTGGGCATATGGCACATTCAGCCTGATTAGGGAGGTACAAGATATTGAAGGAAACTGAGCATAACTTAAAAGAAAAACAGAGGCAAAGGGAGAAATTGACCTGACAGAGCCCATAACATCTGAATTTTTCCTTGAGGTTGAGATTTGGGCCAGGTGATATGAGGTGTGCATTTTCCAGTTCTATTTTACTACCATCCCCAGTCTAGGTTATAATATGCTATTGGGTGGGTGGGTGTGTTATATATGGCAACCATTATAAAGAATTGTGATGGAAAGAATAATTAGTATATGAGTACAGGGATTCTTCTCATCCTAAATAATTGGGCCCTACAAGGATTCTTGAATCTGTAAAGGAGTAGAACCCCTAACAATATATCCTAGCACTGGAGTAAAAGTGGGGTTGGGGCACATACACAGTGAGATACACAATGCTGGACCCTTCTTCTCCCCCTTCCCCAATTATCTAATGCAACATGAGAAAAGAGAAGCAAAGATATCCCTAGTCTACTGCCCAGATTGAGGGGCAAAATTCAGCAGCCAGGACAACCACACTCGATTGTTGAGGTACAGGGTCGGGACACTGGGTTGAGTCACAGAGCCCCTCCTGTTGGGGTATGCACCCCTATAGAGCTGCCGTTTTCCCACTGTATTTGGAAGGACCTGCTTGTAGAGAGCAAGAGTGCCAGGCTTCCTTGCCTCTCTTTGAATGTATACTGAGAAAAGCAGCAGGACAGCAAGGTGAGGTAGCTTATGGTAAAGAGGGATGTGACCCTTGGCTTATTCCTCAGTATAGAATGCCTCCTGGTGCCTGGCTTGTATTTCCTGCACCCAGGTTCAGTTCCCAGCATCTCCAGTTAAAAGGTGAGTAGGTCATTTGAAAGAAGTCCACCGAAGACCCTGTACAGAAACTGGCAGTCTGAGTAGACCAGGGTTCCCTAATGTGGTACCTGGTGGCAGCATGGTCCTTGCCAACACCTTTCCTGGTGCCCAAAAAGTGTTTTTACAAAGTGGGTGTGTGACTACACTGTGCAGGATGCTCAAAACACACATAAAAGGGGGGGGATGACAGAAGGCAAAGTCATTTTCTGCAGGGTTCTGGTGCATTCTTCTATTACAGGCTCTGCGTGAAGAATTGACATGTTGGCCAAGCTTGACAGAGAGAGTCATTCTCTTCCTAACAGCTCTTCTGCCACTGTGATGGTTTGTATCACTGAGGAATTCACAGCCAATAAGCAGCTTATATAAAAACCAGCCGCATGACAACAGCGATGAACTCCAGTCAGAGTGTGTGATTTCAGGGGATCATTACTTGGTCAGCAGTGACAGCTTTTAGGGTGCAGCCTCAAAACATGTTTTCAGTACTAAGGCTCAGCACTGAGGTTCAGTCTCAGAGTACAAGAAGTAATAATGAAGAATATGCCCTCTGAGAATGCACAGAGTGCCTTTCACTCACTTGTGAATTTTCACAACCTGACCCAAACATATCTGGGGCAGGTAGAGGTGACAGGTGTGGAATTCTAACATTCTGGCTAGTTTGATCCCAAGCACTGTTACTTTTAGAAACTAGCCACTTGTTAAGTCAGTTCTTCTGACTCCTTTTCCTCTGAGTAAAAAGGGGTGAATTTCAGATTTACAGCAGGTATTTCTTTCAGAGGTATGTGTTATATATTCTCCAAGCACAGGCCTAATTATTTTGCTAGGTAAAGTCAAAGTTCCCTTCAGCCTTAGCGATACTAGAAAAACGTACCAAGTACAGGTGCTCTCTAGGGTTGGCACCTGGAGATCTCCAGCTATTACAACTGATCTCCAGACAACCAAGATCAGCTCCCCTGGAGACAATGGCTGCTTTAGAGGGTGGACTCTGTGGCACTGTACCCAGCTGAGGCCCCTCCCCTCCCCAAGCCCTGCCTTCCCCAGTCTCCACCCCTAAAATCTCCAGGTATTTCCCAACCCAGAGCTGGCAACCCTAATATGGCATACTTAAGAAGAGCTGCACAGGATCAGAACAAAAATCCATCATCCTGTTTCTTAAACTAGACAGCCAGAAGGCTCTAGGAAGCCCTCAAACAGGACCTGACAGGATCTTCCCATATGGCCCAGTATCCCGAACATACTGTCCGCCTCTGAGCCAAGAGGTTCCAATTCCACTATCAGGGCTAATATTTGCCTTTCCATAAATTTCTTCAATGCCCTTTGAAAGCATCTAAGCCAAGGGCTCTCAGTATATCTTGTGGAAGTGAATTCCACAAACAAATTGTGCACTATATGGAGTACTTTTGACAATTTATCCTGGATCAAGTTCCGCACAAACTAAAATGACATCACTCTCAGTAGTGATTACTCCCTAGGAAGTGATCTGGTGGATTCAATCTGGGGATGGTAACATTTGTAAGTAGGGTTGCCAACCTCCTGGTAGGGCCTGGCGATCTCCCACTATTACCACTGATCACCAGACGACGAAGGTCAGTTCCCTTGGAGAAAATGCAGCTTGGGAGAGGGGACTCTACACCATTGTACCATTCATGGAATGCAAAGCAGAGGCCTTAAGATCATGGCTGGAAACATCTTTTTTCCTGGTCTTCATTCGTCCCCTCAACATTGAGCCTGATTAAGAGTTTTGAAGACTGGAGAGTTCGCATGCTGTGTTGTGTTATTTTGACTGGTCTTAGTAAAAAGTAATACATTGACTTTTGTTCTTCAGTTCTGCTTAGGAGCAATGTGGCTAACTGAAACCTCTTTCCTCCATCACTGACCTGGACAGGCAGCACAGTGAGATGGCAATGAGGTGGCAGAGAGCTGAGGTGACTGTACCATTTCAAGCTGCCGAGGTGGGATGCCACAGTTCAAAGTTTCCCTATTTTAATACATCCCTGTAAGTGGAAAACTAACTCAACATGTGATAGGTTATGCTAGACCCTTTCCTCACATTGTCTGAATATTTACTGCACGGGAACATTAAAAGTGTGACTTTCCTCACCTGCAATCTGCAGTAGTACTATACATCCCACTACCTCAAGTTTCCACCACAATAAGATGCACCTTGAAGATATCTACTCCTATATTTATGCTAATAACTGAAAACTAACTTTTATTCATAAGCATTTATGAATACATTTTGGAATATGTGTTGTTAGTCTTTAAGGTGCCACTGGATTCCTGTTTTATTTTGCTGCTGCAGATGAACATTGGCTACCCATCCGGAAGATTCTGCCAGCTGCACTCTTCTGCAGGCCTGGGTGGCCATTCCCATGACGGTTATTTGTCCTGTTGGGAAGTGGGTTTTTTTCCTGCTTCTCCACAGCATTGTGGTAGATTTGTGAACCCTCTCCTGGGGTTTCCCCAACTTTTCTGCAATCTGTCTCAAACCTGCTCTCAAGTTTGAGCAAATGTTTTGGGTGGCTGCTGATTTTCCCACCCACATGGTAGCCATTTTCCCTATCCCTGTCTCTGCAGAGGCCATTTCCTCCCTTTTTATTTTTATTTTTAAATGGCACTGGAATATCATTATATAACATTAAAACAACCTGTATATCAGGTTCTCTGAACTCCCAGCTTTCATTTTTTTTAAAAGTATCTAGCCCCTTTTATTGTAGAGATATGTTGTTGTTCAGTCGCACAGTCGAGTCTGACTCTTCACGGCCCGTGGACCTTTATATATGCCTTTCCCTTTATCTCTTTGCAATGCAACAGGCTGCATACTGTTTTAAAAAGATGAAAGCTGGGAATTCACATATTTATATAACATTATATTGTTTTAACAATATTCTACTTCTCTCTTTAAAACCCCCGCAAAGGCTCAGGTGGCCAAGGCAGGTGGCTGCTGCTGAGGGACTGGGGCAGTGAAACTGCATGGAAACCTGCCATGTGGAATCCCCCTTTCCCCCTGGGCTTTATCAGCAGCCACAACAGCAATAGGAAAACCGTACAAACACATGCCCACGTCCACCCCACAACAACTGAAATTAAATGTCACCAAGTCGCAACGAACTTATGGCGACCTGTCACGACAGGGGGGATTTCAAGGCCAGGGATGAGCAGAGGTGGTTCGCCATTGCTTTCCTCTGCACAGCAACGGTGTCTTCATTCAAATGCTGCCCGTGGCCTGTTCTTCTTCTGCAGCTGAGAGTTAAGGGCCAAGGCGCCTGGGACCCAGCAGGCGGAAGTCCTGGCGACTCTCTTTCTCTGAAATCAACCCAAACTCCTGCTGCACTTTAAAAGGTGACCTTTTTTTTGCCATAAGAGAATGGTGCCACAAGTAGACTAGAATCCGCTTTTCTGCCAGAGGCACGAGGAGTTATTCTCCGCCGGCGAGTGCGGTCCAGACAGGAGGAAACACGAAGTTCGTAATTAGCGGAGGGTCCAACAAATCCCGCCTCGCCCGTTCCACCCAAGGCGCGCAAGCCTCAAGCCCAGCGAGACCGGGCCAGGCGAGGAGGCGGCGGGGGGGGGGCAGAGGCGAGGGGACGGGATTCTCTTCCAATTTGGGGCTGGAGGCGGTTGGTGATTGGACAGCGGCGGCCTCTCTCCTCCCCGGGAAGGCTCGGCGGCTCGGCCACGCCCTTCAGGCTCCTGGCCGCGGCCGGCTGTGGAGTGTGTGGCGGCTCTGGCGCTGCTTGGGGAGTCGCGGAGAAGAGATCCGCTCTGACTTGGACTGCCTCGTCCCTTCCCATGTAGCCTCTCCCGGAGACAGCGGGACATCCCTTCCGATCAGGTCAGTGAGCTTGCCGCCGCTTCCCTTCCCTTCCCTGTTGCTCCGGATCCTTCTCCTCTGCTTGCTTCTGCTCGAGGCAGTTTTTAAGCCTTGGGATCTGCAGCAGCCTCTCCCCGGAAAGCCCCGGGAACAGCTTGCAGGTCGACGGCGTCCTGGCCCCACCAGCCGCTCCTGCTGCACCCAAACAAATTTATGTCGAAGGAAGCGCCGTTCGAACTTATGCCGAGCGGTTTAGGGTTTGAAGCCGTTGCCGCCCAGGTCGTGTGTGTTTTACTCGGAGGTCCCACTGAGTTCAGCAGGGTTTACTCCCAAGTAACGTGCACAGAAAGCGTGAGGAATCGGCTCTCTTGGGTTTGTTTCCGAAAGTGGAGAAGGAATGCTGTGTGTCACTCACTGTGTGTATGGAGGCAGGGCTTTCTTGCAATGGGGAAGGGTTTGGCACTGCAAGTTTTAGGGAGGCTGTACATTCTGTAGTGGTCTAGCCTTCAAAAACACCCACCAGTCACGGTCACTGTTATTGACCCAGGTTGTAATTGCATCACATGTCGCTCTGGAACCCAACCGCTTCCTCCTGTTGAAGAGCAGAGCTCTTCCCAGTCAGATCGTTTGCCCTCTGGCTGGTGTCTAGAGGGCAAAGAGTTCTGGCCAGTACCATTCTTTGTACCAGCTGTATCATGCACAGGTTAGGGAGCTGTGCAGATCTGACTGTCCAGTGTGTCTCCTTCAGTCGCCCAAACACAGAATAAACCAATTGCTGACATGCAAAAGGGACCATAAGGGATCTTGTTAGTCTGGCGTGCCCAACCTACCTTAGCATGAATCATCCATGATAATGCATTACTATTGGGCAGCAGGTCAGTTAATGTTTCACAACCTTGTCTGGAATGCTAGAAGTGACTCTCCAATATTCAGATTACTGCAGGTTGTTTTCCCCAAAATTCTGACTTTACATAGGGATGATGTGAGATGAAAGAATGGGGCTGTCAGATTTCCTCCTAATTTCCTGAGACAGAAATGTAAAGGCTGGCTCACATACGCATTATGTACCTCCCTGGTGGTTTGTATGGCCATCTCTGGGTGCGAATTGGATCCATGGGGGGAAAGTACTGTGTTTGAGAGGCTGTGAAGTGGTAAGAAAACGGGATCTGCTCTGCTTAAACCTGTGGGAGTGTTTCCCACAGCCAAGGGTTCCTTTTCTGCTGCAGATACAAGGTGCTGCCATGCATGTGTAAACTCAGCCCAAGTGTGGCTTCCCTTCAACTCTTGTAAGCGACAGAGAAGTCCCATTGGACAGCAGCTTAAACAGAACACAAAAGAGAATATTCTCGAGATGAAAAATATCTGCGTGGTTTTTTATTCTTCTGTTGAGTCCTCTCATCAAAAGCATTTGATGTAGATCTGGCTAGAGGGGGCCTCTGAAGTGGAACATTTGGCAGCTCCTGGTGCTTATTTTGTTCCTTCCTTGATTTTTTCCAAAAATGCTTCCTATCTGCATTCATATATGCAACATTTTACTTAAAATGGGGGGAAATGCTGTTTGAGCGTTTCGATCCAGATCAGCTTTAACTTTATGTTTGCTATTGAAGACTGGAGTTCAGAAGAACAGTGGAATTCAGTGGAATGCAAGTATTTCAAAGTAATACAAGGTTTTCCATCCTGTGCCTTGAAAACAATGTTTGGGGTTCGTTGATGACCTCCATTCTTTTATGGTCACATTGCTACTGGTAGCTATCTACATTACTGCACATGTCGCCAGTGTGTCAGTGAGGCATAAGGTCAGTCTTTGAACAAATGATATCAAAGGAAGTAGCAACACGCTTTTGGAAAGCTTGACATCAACAAAACAAATCTCTTGCCAGATATATTTTGATCTAGCATAGTAAAAGAGCATGAATAATTATATATACCAAAGTTTACTATTTCCTTGTTTGATCTTATGAGGATGAGAGTGAAACTTTTATTTTCAAAGTTGTCTTATTCTTAAATAATGATGGACTGTAGAAGAACATATCTCGAGGCCTCTTTTACAAAAACAAATCAGGAAATGCATTAAAGCATTCACTTTTAAAAGATGACATAAATACTGTATATAGCCACAGTATACATTTCTGCCTGTTAAGAGCATAAGAAAAGCCCTGCTGGATCAGGCCACTAGTCCATCTAGTCCAGCATCCTGTTTCACACAACAGCCAACTAGTTGCCTTGAAAGGTCCAACAACAGCATAAAGACCAAGGCCCTAATGTTGCCGCCTAGCATTGGTATTGTAGGTTTTCTGCCTCCCCGTGGCTAGTAGCCATTGATAGACCTCTTCTCTATTAACGCCTTTTAAAGACAATTATGCTAGTGGCCATCACCACTTCTACTTGCAATGAACTCCTCTGTTTAATTATTTGTTGAGTAAAGAACTATTTCCTTTTGTGTGTTCTGAACCTATTTCTCTACAATTTCATTGGGTGCCTCCAAGTTCTGGTATTGTGGGAGAGGGAGAAAAAGCTTTCTACTTTCTCCCCCTCATACATAATTTTCTAAATGTCTACTGTATCCCCTTAGCTATCTTTTCTCTAGACTGAAAAGTCCCAGGCTCTCCAGCCTTTCCTCATAGGAAATATGCTCCAAGTTCCTTGATTGCATTCCTTTGTGCTTGTTAGTGTCGCTTGATGTAACTCAAGAGCATTATATTGCAGGATACTCCTGCAGATATTTTGGAAGTGAAGTACAACCAAGGTTTAATACATAAGGTGGCCCCAGACTTCCTGTTGACACATTACTTTTGTAGGAAAAAAACCCAAGATTTGGTCAGTCCATAGGTTAATGGCAGAACACGTGATGATTTGCATGCATAAAGTTCCAGATCCAATCCCTGGTGTCATTAGTTGAAAGGATCATAGGTGACAGAGCTAGTAAAAGACCATTTGCATGAGTCTCAGGAGAGACTGCCAGTCAGAGAAGACAAGAAAGCTTGATATAACGATGGTCTGCTTTTGTATATGGCAGCTTGATATGTTTATGGCCATATGTATTGTGTAGAGTGCAGTGATGAAAATCTCACAGTTCTCAGTTGTTGCAGACAGTTTTTTTCTTCCATCTTCCTTGAAGGAGCTTAAGAGTGGCATACATGATTTCCCTTTACAGTGGCCACCCTGTGAGTTAAGATTCAGCCGGGTAGCCGTGTTGGTTTGAAGCAATAGAACAAAGTTCTGAAGACATCTAAAGAGGTGTGCATGCACATGAAAGTGTATACCCAGCATTAAGCTCTGTTGGTTTAAAGATGCGACTGAACACAGACTTTGTTCCTGTGAAGTAAGTTAGAGTGAGGGCTAGTGATTGACCCAGGATTGCCTGTGAACTTTGCAGCTGGGTGAGGATTTGAAGCTCAGTCTCCTCAGTCTAGGGTCTGGAATTGTGACCACTACACCTCTCTCACACACTCCCCCCTGTCTTTTTCGCTCTCTCTCTCCAGATAGCATGTGTTGTGGGATTGATGACATAATATATTTAAACTCATACCTCAAATCAGAAGGCTGTAAAACAGGTTGCCCACTAGCCCTGATTTCTGAAAGAGTATACAGTTTGCCAGTACAAATTAACAACTCGCATTTTAAAATTTATCTATGTTCTGTGATGTTAGAGCATTCATACGTTGTGCCAGTGTGGTGTAGTGATTAGAGCGTTGGATCTGGGAAACACGGGTTCAAATCCCCACTCTGCCATGGAAGCTTGCTGGGTGACCTTGGGCGAGTCATTAAACTCCCTCAGCCTTCCCTGACTCACTGGGTTGTTGCGGGGACAAGATGGAGGACAGGAGAATGACGTCAGCCACTTTGATACATTGTTGGGGAGAGGTATAAATGAAGTAAATAAATACATTTATTAATTTATGAAGAAAAGAGCAGAAATCAGAACAACTCTACAAAAGGGTCTTTAAAATGCTGTCCACTGCCCCACAGTGTTATGTGCAGCTCTGACTGTTTTGTTACAGCTTCATTGTAAAATAACTGATGCAGTACAGAATAATTTCACCAGTCAACAGAAAATTCAGGTGCTATTTATTATTAAATTAGGGCAGAGCTTGAGTTACATATGTGGAGAGTTGTGTTCATGTTCTGTATCTTGTGCTGGAAGAGATAATGGGTATGAGGCAACCCCTGAGGTATCTTTAGCTGTTTCCTGGAATGCGCCAAGACTGGCATGCAGTCACGGCAGGAAGAGATCAGTTTTAATTTCAGGATAACTGGAGTCAAGTTCAGATTTGTTGCTCAGCCATTTGGCCATTACGATGCATAAGAGCCAAATTACAGGCGTTTAGACACGAAGAAATATTCTCAAACATAATTGGTGATTCAGAGTACAAATGAAATCAAATATTAATATCACATCACGATTACAGATAACAAATTACTGAACTTGCATCCATGAGGGCTGACCATAAAGAATAGTTACCTTTGCAATCAGCGACATAAGAGAAGACGCATTCACTGCTGCCACTGCAGTTTTTTCAGTTAAAAGTAGTTATGAAAGGAAATCTGTCACTTAATATGATAGCTAAAATATAATTGGTCGTTTTCTTGTGTTCATATCCAACAAGAAAACCATGTTTTTTAGATAGACTCTAACAAGGTCATAATTTACTATTATGGTTTGTTTGTCAGTATCTAGACAACTCATGTGGGGGTAGCAGTCAGAGTGTTGAACAGGACCTGGGAGACCCAAGTTCCAATACGTACACAGCAGTGCAGCTTAGGGCATGATCCTTTGAGTCTGTCTTTCAGCCTAACTTACCTCCCAGTGTTGTTTTGGTGATAAATGGGAGGGGAACCACTCTTGGAGGTGGGGTAGGATAAAAATGGATAAATAGATCCATAGTTTGTAAGAATCCTGACGAAAAGGACTTCCTTAATTTAAAGGAAGGTGTCTGGCTATTCTTCTAGACCAAGAATATTATGTGGTAGGAAGGAACTCTGACCTGGATGGGCCACACTAGCCCAATCTTGTCATATCT